AAAGTACTTGCATAACAATTGATTCTCTTAATGACTATTTTCTAATGATTAATACAACATTTAATTCTAACTCATTCAACCTAATACCCCTATAATGATGTTTAATAATGATGGAAAAAAATTGTTGTCACCATTTCTGAAACAAGCTTGCAATTTATATCAATATAAACCATGCTTATCCTTACTATATGTTAATAACTATGTTTGGCAGTAAACGCGATTAATTCATGGTGTAATTCTGAACCTCTTGGCTTGCCATAATCCTAACCAAACGTATATTGTGTTTCCTATGCACGTAAAAACAAATTTTCGCGTATAAATTGCACGATAAACACACTGCGTGCGAGACGCATTTAGTTGATGTATCTATGGCAACCAAACGTCACTGGTGAGACAAACGTGAAACGAACGGGCGGTCAGATTATGTTTTGGCAGGGGAAAAACTGATACAGAAAATGTAATGAAAATGTAACAGAAGTTGTAGAAATGTAGTGGAGTAGAAAGTAAAATAATTGCTGCAAAATGTAACGAAGTAAAAGTAAAAAGTATGCACTATTTATTCTACTTAAGTAAAGTAAAGATACGTGAAAAATGTACTTAAGAAAAGTAACAAAGTATTTGTACTTCGTTACATTCCACCACTGACCTGCAGTAACCGTGAAAGCTAGCTATATATATATTCAAAGTGTGCTCAGATTTGCCAAAATGCTAGTCTGCAATCAAAGTCAAAGATCTCAATATAAACTCATCAAATATTTGTCATCAAATTTGATTAAAATCGAATGATCAGAACTGCCTTCCACATTGACTTTTATAACAATTGACAACAATGTGATTACATACCTCTAAAATCAGAAACATCTGAGGTAAAGTTAAAACTTGGAAACTGGATATCTCAGTTATGATTCGTGAACTCTGAATGAGCAACCCATGAACAATAAAAAACAAATCCTTTGGGATGCCTAAGGTTGTAAAACTTTCACTTTTCAATTTACTATTTCCCTGTAACATATTCACCTGTGCTGATGAGTTTTTTTTAACAGCAAACTCAACTAGGTCAGTGGAACAAAATCTAAAACTGTTACCTTTATGTATACACTGTGTGTCTGTCCAGTTACCTGCAAGGATGCGTTGGCATTCTGAGTTGCTTCTCCACAGTAATATAATGTTCTAATCATTATATTTACTCCATTAACAATTGCTGAGAGCAGAGAGATTATATTGACTTTCACATCAACAGTTGTGCACTTACAAGAGTGTCTCTGCACAGCTGCCAAATCCTTTAAGTAACAATCTGCCACGTTCTTTGTTTTACTATCAGCTTGTATGTGTTAATGTTCACACCCGTACACAATACAGCGAAAAGTGAATCTGTAACCAATTCACACAGCAGCATATGTTAATATTTAATTGATCAATCAACAAATTTGATATGTCGCACCATTGGATTCTATTTGTGCAGTGTTTAATGTGATATCTTACGTTATTAAAAATGGTTCTAAAAGGTTGACGGCGAAAATGCATGAGGAAATATATTCTATTCGCTCCTTTCTTTTTTGACTCAAGCTGAAAGTCAAGATTTCCTTGCAAATAGCAGTTCCAAAGAGTGTGGTTCGTTGTCCTCCCTTCCCAAAACAGTTCTGTGGAAAAGATTTAACAAGCAGCTTACTGCTGGGGGAAGGGATTGGGAAGAGAGGGGGGCCCCTCAGGGTCACCAAGATGTGAGGGCCTCTCACATATACACACACAAGATATCCAATGCGCTTTATTGCTGTATTAAAAGTGTTTACATTGCAAACGCATTAATAAATATTGTACATGTATTTATATACATAAATACATACACATATACAGACAATAAAGGTCTCACACTCTGGCAAGAGAAAAAAAAACAGCCTAGCAAGGGAAAGCAGCCAAAAACCACATCTACTAGCGCTGGAGTGGATAGAGGGAGTAGAGGGAAAGAGACGAGGGAGAGGGATAGCGAGAGGGAATGGGGAGGGATCAGTTTCTAGGGTAGGCTGTGGTTGGTTCTGCTGTTGGATGGACTCGGGATAGATCGAGTTACACCATTTGCCGTGCATTAGTTTGTTTTTCCCCGCTCTGAACGGAGAGAGACACTTAAAGCTTGACTCAGAGTTGTTGCGATCCAAATCGCGTAAAGAGAACCGCGGATTCAGATGAGGTGAGTTTATTTTATTGGGGAAAATGCAACGTTACGAGCGTGTGAGACTGTAAAAATGGAAAGAAGGAAAAGAAGCGGCAAGAAAAAGATTTCCAAAACATCAGAAGTACTATAGGTGCAGCGCAAAAATAGAACTGGAGCTATTTTTATTCACCCTGTTATACCCGTTCGCACCGATTCGGATTGTTTATAAGAGGAGTGACGCGCGCGCATGAAGTTCTTCATTCTGAAGTGCAGATCTTTTGAGGTAATTACTTAGTTGGGTTTATTTGATTTGGGTTGTATTGGTTTGGTTTGGTGAATGACGGGGGGATGGTACTAGAGGAGAGGGAGGGTCTTGATGCTATTTGATCGGTGAGCTTTTGAAGATCACAAAGCTTTATCCAGAAGACGGGCTGGACGAGCCCCGTGGGCTATGGGAATTGTTTTGCGTGGTTCGGATAAAACAAACACATGGGGATCCTCTGGCTTTATGGAGCGAGCTACACACATGCTGTCTTATTGCTTTGGATTTTATAGCGTAAAACACTTTGGAATATAACGGAGAGAGTATCGTAATCTACATGCTCGTTTGGAGAACATTCAGGTAGGATTTCTGTTCTCATTTTTACACTTTGTTGTCACACAAATGTTTTAAGCAAATGGGTAGTACTGCTGTACCGAAACTTTTTTCATGCGCTTAGAAGCAACTGATTATATTTAGCATTTAATGAGAGAAATCAATATTGTCACATCCTGTTGATGTGCCTCTATTCGATTAATTAGCTATTCTTTTTTCTTTTATCTATCTTTTTCTTATTGCTTGTAGCATGTTTTTTGTTCCTTCGTATTAACATAAAATGTAAATGCAAAAAAAAAAAAAAAAACGGGATTTACATAGTGGAAAAACGCACAAAGCTGAGATTCAAGCATTTGATTCCCCAATTGTATTGTTTCTCTCCTTGCATACCAGCCAATAAACGGGGTCAGATGGGACAAGGGTCGGAAATTAACCCAGACATAGGGCAAAAATTGCCCATTATGGATATTTAAAATATGGGGGCAACATTTTTGTAATTTATGTATTTATGTAATTTTACCTAAAAGTAGATATTTATATAATGTACATTTAATGAAATATTGCCTACCTATGTCCATTTATATATAGCCACTTTAGTGTCAATTGTAATTAGTTCAATCATTTGAAATATTGAAAAATGCCCCTTTAAATCAATGCCAGTTAATTTCTGACATCAACTGGCTGCATGGGACAGATGTGTCTCAATAATGCACTTTAGATCCCTCATGTCCCTTAATGATGAGGGATCGAAGTTCAAACAGAAGTACAAGGAAGATCCACAGTCATAAATCTAACCTTTGCCTGGCAGTTACATTATGTCATTCAAACTGATACAATCTTTTAAACAGCAAAACAATAATTCTGCCGGTATATGGTCCGAGGTAGAGGGAGGGAGGGTTGCTGTTGTTGTGTAAAGTGGGTTTTGGAGCCCACGGTCATGCATTAACACAATCAATTTCCCAGCAGAAGCCATTACCGACCTAACACTCCACTGTTGTCTTTATGCATTTACTGCAACTCAAGAGATTCGTCACGGCTCGGCTCCAGCCTGAACGCTTTGATTCATGCTCTCAGAGGCGGAGTTCTGGTCCGTTTCCGAACGGAGAGGGGTTTGAAGATGCTGTTCATATCGGTCATAGACAAACTGTTGAGTGACATCCGACATGCGCTGTGATAAACACACATAGCAAATAAAGCGAAATGCGTTTTTTTTTACGTGAGTGGCAGCCGTCAACAGAATGAATGAGTTAGAATAAGAACGATTTTTTTGTTTATTTGCTTGTTTTTACACACAAACATCTCGTTTTATTATGTGTAGATACGCACATAATGTTGCTTTTTTGCAAAATACTGAGGCAAATGTAGGCTACAAAACACGAAGTAGGGGTGAGGTAACACTGTCTCAATTTGATATTGTAGGCTACCTACCATCTTTGAGTGGGTTGCAAGACTAGAAAACATAGGCCTACTTTTAAATGCTGTACAGCTGTAGTTCATCAAAGTAATTTTTTTTTCAAAACAATTGTTATGCCACCATCCCACATGGTAATTCACAACAGTAAACTAGAAAACATTTTAATTCAAACCAGCTATCAACAAATGTCAAACAAATGCATTAAACCATAAGCTAACAACTACAACACAAGCTAAAAACATAAGGCATAAGTGTATGTTTGTTCTGAGCTTTTGTCCAGATTGTAAACCCCACATGCCCCAACAAGGATAGAAAATATAATTTTCTTAGAATAAAAACACGTCAATAACTTGTATGGATGTTTAACCACTGTCTCCTCAGAACGATGCTGGTCAAGTATAGTGATTTCACCCTGTAGCTCATCTTTAATTGGTTAAACGTTACAACTCACTCTTTATTACAACACTCTCCGCTCTTCTCCATTTCTTGCTGTGTGACCATATGGAAGTTAATGACATATGCTGTTCTCCTAATGCTTTTGTTCATTGTGCTTCTTGAATGTGTGAGTTTGAGAGTTTTATATCTGTTAAACACACTGCAAGAGTGTGCAGTCTCTTATCTCTGCTGAACCTGTCAACCCTCTTATAGAGAGCGCCAGATAACATCTACCTCTTCTGAAACTTCACCGTTAAGCAGTTTCAGCACTTTTCATGCCGGTGTGTGAATAGTCAGTCACAACAGCTGGCCACATTGTGTCCACTAAGCCCACGCCAGTCCTGCTGCCTTGTGTTCAGTCTCGGTCAGGCTTGAATAACTGATTTAACCTTTAAAGCATGGAGGTCTCCTCACTGGCCCGGACTGAACGGACTCTGAGCTGTCTATTGTTCCCTAACACACACACTTGCATACACCTGCAGGACAGGGCTTTGGGAGAGTGGGGGTGGGGAGTGGAGCTGCTCAGGTGTGCCCTGACCTGTCTTACAGATGTGGAGTAACAAGTTGTGACTCCTCAGCAGTAATCGCACTGTAAACAACTTAATGATTTCAGTGCTCTTCTGTGGGAAAGCTCTAATCTCAGCGCGAGCATCTCTGAAACCACACACATCACAACTGTTGAGTTGTGAGAGTCGATCCGAAGGCCTGTTGTTCAGCATTTTAAGGTTTGAGTGTGCGTTATGACCAATATCTTATCACAATATAGCTTTTTTATTATTTTTTTGTAAAATATATAAACAGTTTGGTTTCCATTTGTTAACATTAGTTACATAATGTAAAGGAAAATACTTCTAAAGCATGTATTTATGTAATGTCAATTTCAACATTTACTAATATACTTTTATAATTAAGTTGTTTGAACATTGTATATTTATTACCTAACATTAACAAAAATTAATTTGTTAAAATATTTGTACAAATGCATTGTTCATTTTTAATGTTAATTAATGTTACCTATATTGTGCATAATGCAGCTAATTAGATACAATTAGAAGCAAAGATATCATCTGACTTGAATATTTATTTATTAGTGAAACTTATTTTATTTGCTGGACACCAACATATATGATTATTCAAAACAAATCATACATCCAAGTTGATTAAGTTAGTAAACTGATACTTCATTAATCTAATAGTACATACTCTGAATTCTGATTGGATGAGCCACAATGCTATGGTAAATCAAACATTATACATTACTGTTCACACACAGCATTTTGACAGCGTCACAGTGTAAAGTAAAATTATCAATACACACACACCTGTGTCCACAAATCAGATTTATATTCTATTTATTAACACAGAAACGCGTCAATGTTGCTTGGCAATCATAAATGAATAAACCGTTTTGTGTTGTGCCTAACAAATACCAACCCGATCTCACGGGAATTCATATGAATTTTACGAGGTGGCTAATTCGTAACAATTTGTACGACCTCACTTGTACGAATTAGTACGGTTTTGCTAAATCGTATATATTTTACGAATTAGCCAATTCGTATGAATTCGTACGAATGACCTACCCCTGACCCCGCCCCTAAACATAACCGTCACGTGGGTTTAGACAAATCGTACAAATTCGTACGAGTGAGGTCGTATGAATTAGTACGAATTAGCCACTTTTGAATCACTCGTACGAATTCGTACGAATTGGTCGTGAGATAGCGTAGCAATACCTTTTTAAATACAAGCTTTAAACTTAAATTAAAGCTCTAAAACAAGTTTGGGACAGGTTTGGCGCACATCTCCCTCTGTATTGTCACATTGTTCCATTTTTATTAATTGCTTTTGTATGTAAACATAAATCACTTCGGAGCACTGATGGTGGCCACTCGTATATATTTCCACCACGATATAGCAACGTCTCCGCCAGCTGGCACATTTCTGCCATTGTGTGGTATATACAGTACCATCATACGTCCCAGCCTTATTTTACAGCTTCTGTTGATTTATTCCTGCATCTTCTTTCTCAGTGTCAGGCCTCAGGCAGATCTGCAGGGCTTGCGTTCAACTAAAGCTAAAGTTGATTGAAATGCTCCTCAGTTAAGCAACATAATTCTCTCCTGTCTCGAGATGCATAAAACTAACCATAGCACATCTGCTGCACTAATGCAGACAGTGGGGAGCATTTATTTCGCAAGGTCAACTGAAACCACTGAACGTCACCGACCGGCTTTGTTCTTTTGGCCTTCGCTGCCGCGTTTGCTACAGCTGGACTCTGGCGGATCCGCTGCAGGCAATCTTACTGGAACGACCTGCCAACACCAGGGGCGTGCCAGCATCCCGGGAAACGCTGCCAAAAACATCAGCGAGTGCGTGATTGCGTCGCACTGAGACGGGCTGTAATGAGAGTAGCCAAGGAGCAGATAAACATTAACTGGTTGCGTGACTAGTCGACTCTCTCTCCACGCAGGGCCTGTCCAGGCTCATACACCGGAGGGCAAGAATGGAAAACCAAACCAAGACGTTCAATAGAAAACACGTTGCGCTAGTGTATATTGAAAAGAAATTTAAGACGGCTGACCTTTGCATGTCCTTTGTTTCTGTTTTGCATTAGGTTTCTCTTGCTTCTCTTTGCCCGAGCCTGGTGTTTTTCATGCATTGGAATTGTATTTTAGCAAGTGGTGTTTCTATGAATAATGAATGATGCGAGCGAGTAAGGAATTTGTCATTGACAATGAATATGTTCCAGGGTGCTGGAAATATCCCCTCTTTATTTCATGAAGTAATATCCAGGCGGAGGAAACGATACGGCGCTGTGAAGCTGTGATTAGACTTTCAGTGCTGTATTAAACTGGGGCTCCTCTTGTACACATGGCTTAATCCATACGGTGTTTCCCGGGCCCCTCCGAGAGCTCTGTTCTGCTGATGTGTGCACTTCTGTACGGATCAAAGATGCGCTTGGGAAAAGAAATTCATTTGGAGCTCCGTTATGATAGACACATTTTATGACCCCTCGACCTTTGACTTCCACTAAGTGTCCAAGCGTTAAAGCTTTTAATCGCTCAAGCCCCACATGGGCGAAGAAAACAATCTTTATTCTTGTCCCGTCTTCTGGTCTCTCCTCGATTCATTTTCTCACCGTGACTCGTCTTGATCCTTCTCTTCTCATCTCAATCGTCTTTTCTTGTCTCTCATGCTTGTCTCATCTCATCCGGTGTGTCCTTCTGGTCTCGTCTGTTTTGTTTATGTGTCCTTCTCCTTATTGTCTCACTTTTTCTCTGTCTCACCTCCCCTGCTTCAATGCATGCCTCATCTTGTCTCTCCTTCTCATGCTTGTCTCGTGTAATCTAGTGTGTCCTCATATTATCTTGTTCTATCTTTGTCCTGTCTCTGCTTTTCTTGTCTTCCTTTTTCTCATTTCTTGTATTATCTTTTCATTTCTCATTCCTGTATCATGTTCTCTCATTGCCTCTCTTTTCTTAATTTTTTGTCTCATCTTATCTCTATATTAGAGCCCGATCGATAAAGGATTTTGAAGGCCGATACCGATACAAATATATATATTTTTTTGGTTTTAAAATCCGATATGCCGATATATCCAGACTGATCTCATGAAGTAGCGTGTGTATGACACGCCAATTCGTATTTCCATTTTTGGCGTGCTATCAAGACGCATAATCAGCTTTCAGCGTGTTTATGAACGCCATTGACTTAACGTTATATAAATATATGACTTACCTCAACCCCGTCCCTAAACCTAACCGTCACTGGGGTCAATGGCATTTATGACTGTTCCCCTACCATCCTAGGTAAAAAAAAGATATGACTTACCTCAACCCCATCCCTAAACTTAACCGTCACTGGGGTTAATGGCAGTTATGACTGGAGATTTGACTGCGTGTACAGACACGCAGAATGACGCGGACGTTAATGGCGTAGACATATACGCATACACGCGGATACACGCGGATAGCTCAAAATGCGTAGAGATGACACGCCACCTGACTCGAAAGTGGCGTATATGTTTACGCAAAAGTCATGATGTCATGTTGATATATCGGCCGATATTTTTATTCCAGAAAGGCGCAACAAAACATTAACAGATTTCCCTAACATGAACCAAGTTTTAACCAAAATAATATGATAATGTATTTTAAAAAGAAACTTTCTAAAAGTTTATTTTATTGTCACAACAGAACAGACTGATGATAGTGGCATTAGCTAGCTTTATGGTTAGCTAGTCTATGATGAACCATAATTTAGCAATGGATTACGTCATACTGCAAATTGTAAAATATAACTGGCCAAGGAAACTTCCGCCGGCCAAAAATTTTGTCATGCTTATTTGAGGTAAGAGAACTGATGGGGGTGTTATTTTAATTGTTATTCAAGCAACGTATGTTTCGTGACCAACTCAACGAGTGTTGCCAACAGGAATAGTGTAGAGTGCCCTCTGGTGGACAAACTACACAACACTCATGACATGGTTCAAGCGTGTTTCGTCCGTTTTTATTTTATTTTTGAAATATCCATTTATCGGCCATTATAACTGCCGATACCGATAGTTTGGAAAATGCCGATATATCGGTCTGGCTCTACTCTATATTCTACTCTCATCTAGCCTCTCATCCTTTCTTCAAATCTTGCCTCGTTTGGTCTAATCCTATTTTGTCCATCCTTTTCATCTCATGCTTTTTTTCTCGTCTCACCTTGTCTCATCTCATCTGATGTGTCCTCCTTGTTCTATCTGTTCTATGTTTTATAACGTCTCCTATTATTGCCCCATTTTTCTCATTGACCTCTCACTTTTTCTCCTCATCTTTTCTTTCCTTCTCTTCTCTTATTTTCTTGTCTCAAATGTCTGTCCTCTGTCTCATGTCCTCTCCTTGCTTCAATTCTTACCTCGTCTTATCGTCTCATTTTCTTCTCTTCCCGACTCTTATGCATGTCTATTTTTTTTCTCATCGTTTCTTGTCTCGTATTGTCTTTTCCTTTCTCATCTAGTATATTGTCCTCTCATCTCCTCGCTTCAATTTTCACCTCGTCTTGTCTCTTCACATCTCGTCTCTCCTTTTCTCATCTCACCCTTCGTCTACTCGTTTCATCAACCTTTTCTCTTATCTCGAAAAATTGCCAGAGAAAGAGTTGTTTCTATTGATCTGATCAAAGCTCGATAGCCCAGAATCCCTTGCAGTCAGCTTGTAGAAATGAAGATCCATTATGGCAACAGATGAGCGGAGAAACTCCCTTCCTTGCAAGATTGTGGATCATGTTTCAGTTGGAGAATTTCCCCGGTTCACGTCCCACTCAACTGATCAATTGAGAGCTGATCAATCAACGGCTAATCAATAATAGCAGGGTGGTACAGGCAGCATGTACATTTTACAGTGTGGGAGCAGGTGCACAGGGCCGCTAATTGCAAAAACGTCAATACTATATGCGAGCATGTGTGGCGAGACACTCTCAGGAAGTGGTTGGGGCCTGACTCACTCACTCACTCGCGTTCTGCCAAGCTGCTTGTTGTCTCCATGTAAATTGTTTATATCCGTCCGGGCTTTGCTGGCATGAATAATTTGTAGCTTTATAAATATTTGACTTTACACAGCTCATTAATATGCACAGATGATTGTCTCTCCAGGACACGACCCCAACCACAGCATGCAGACCTTTGAAAATCTTCCTGTTTGAATGACCGTTTGAAGACTTCTGCGCCAGGCGCAGCAAACACACTCCCACCTGTAGTACACATGCGCACACACTTAATTGTACGCAAATCTTAAAATAAAATGTGTGAAAGAGTGTATCAGCATTCATTTCTGCATTTGTGGTCTCTCAAACACTCACTTTCCACCCCCTCTCTGTCTGTTTTTTGACCTTCCTCTCATGGACAGATTTTCAATCATGGGTATTGGCTGCCAAATACGCACACACACACACACTAAATGATCAGTTGCATGCATTCTAATCTATGTAGCAAATCCTTACAGAGGTCATGCACAAAAACAAAAGAGGAAAGGATGCATGTTGACATCTGTATTTCTGTGTGTGTTGCAGGTAGCATCTACATAAGTGCAGTAGAGGTGGTGTTTGCCCTCTGTGCCAGCAATGGGGTGGCGAGAACTGAAGACTGACCTGCTGCTTCTACTGCTGCTAATGACGTCCCACCTGGAGGCTGTGAGCTTTCCCGAGGACAACATCCCTTTAGATGTTGTGGACAGACACTGTAAGCACAGGGAAACGTCATTCTGATGAATTCTGTGAATACATAAGATCTTTATTAAGTTCTTTAAAAAACAACAACAACATTTCTTTTCTTCAGCTAAGTGCATTTTTGGTCCTGCAGGCTTTTAGAAAATAAACTCTCATTAGTTCATCATAATTCCCATTAACAATGGCCTGTGGATATAAATACACACAAACAAAATAGTTTTTTGTCATTTTTCCAATTTTTCCTTTTCTGAACAAATTAAATTTCCACCATCTCGATTCATGTACGTTTTATTAGCATTTTTTTTTTTAATAAAATGGCAACCCCTTTGTCTTCCAAAGGAAAATTTCATAATTAGTATTATGTATTGTAAACATGAACAATTAAATTACATAGTCACCCTTGTTTTTACACAATTTAATAAAATGACAGCTAGATTGGAAAAGGCGCACACTAAAAATCTTCTGAAGATTTTAAATATTGAAATGGTTTGTTTTATTGTTGTTTTAAAACTACAACAATTTAGATTATGATAATAATCTATATGTTTATAATGGATTTTCCTAGTTTAATATTATAATGCTGCATTCATGTGGTATGGTAATTATGGTAAATACCAAAATCCGACGTGGAAAATGCACATGAACACCCCCTCATGTGGTTTTTACCACTGGGAAACTCGTAGAATATTTTGATGGACGAGTTGCCGAGATGAGATAACCTTTGACCATTTCAAAATGGCGGAGAGCACCGCGAGAGTCGTGAATGGTAAAAAAAATGATATACTATTCATGATCTAGAAAATATACAGCATATTATTTACCTTTTGAGTTTTGATAAATAATTTTCTTGCTGTTGCAGATGACTTAAGCAATCTAAAATAATTTTAGCTAAATAACAGGTCTGGATCTCCATCCTTTTACCACATTACGACAACAAAAGCACTTGAACGCAACACACTGGTAAATACCAGTTCACAAGTGATAATGCACGTGAACGCAGCATAAGTCTGGGTTTGGGACTAGGCCTATTTAAACCATTAAAATCAAAGTCATATGAAAGGTAAACAAAAAATAAATGATGATAAGGCATTTAAAATATTGCAAGTAATAGTTTGTTTTAATATCATCATCTTGGACAAAAAAGTGCCTTTACTTGAAAATACAGCCATCTGCACTCTTAAGAAGACATACACGTCTATAGTCGCTGCATTAGCGCTTCTGTGCTCTGCAGTGAGAAAACACCCTAGCATGCTGACAGTGCAGTCGCTGGACGTCAATGCGGGAGCTACTGGTCTAATATTCATTACTTTAGCAAAGTCTTTCTTCAGGGCAGTTTAACATGCAGTTGCAACAGCCAATCAATACCAACATCGATCTCTGTTGACGCTAATACTGAATAACAGCGCATCTGTTTGTTCTGCAGATGCACGACAGTACCCGGTTTTCCGTGGACGCCCCTCTGGCAACGAATCTCAGCATAGACTGGACTTTCAGCTGATGACCAAGATACATGATACACTCTTCATCGCTGGCAGGTAAATCAGCACTTAAACAGGATCTGGAACTAAGGATTTCGACTGCTTGACCTGCTCAGACAAGCTGGTTGATGAACAGTAGAACTGAGTAGTAATGTGTGTGTAATGTAAACTGTTACTATCTTTCTCACAGGGACCAGGTGTATTTAGTGAGTCTAAGAGAGTCCTACAGGAATGAGATAATTCCATACAGGGTGGGTTCACAGTAAATCACTTTATGACTGAACGCTCTTGTCCTAACCAGGCGTGACACAATAAAGCGGCGAGCGATTAAAATCTTAAGTTCCAGTAATGGCACCACTTTTTGTAAATCGCTAGGTTTCTGTCTTTCTGTCCCCGCCCACAGTAAAATGGTGTTGGTCCAAAATTTGACTTTACAGAGCTATAAACATTAAAACTTCAAATAATAATAATAATAAAAAAACCTATATATATATGAAGAGTGAAGAGTGCCATTTGAAATTCTCTTCTATAATCATTTTTATCAAGCTTGTATATTTAAATTCAGTAATTTCACTTAAATGGCAATTCATAGGTAATCTTCATTGCCATTTAAGTGAAATTACTGAACTTAAATATACAAGCTTGATAAAAATTAACATTCTTGAAGAAAATTTCAAATGGCATTTTGAGGCTTTTGCATCTGAACTCTTCATATATATATATATATATATATATATATATATATATATAAGTGCTGGGCAACGATTAATCGCGATTAATCCCATCCAAAATAAAAGTATAATTATTTTTTAGGTATAAATACACACATATGCATGCATATAGTTAAGAAAAATGTGTTATTTATATATTATAAATTATGTGTAAATGTATATACATTCAAATATTTCTTATACATGCATATGTGTTATATATATATATATATATATATATTACAGCGGTATAAATATTAATTACAGCTGGAAACTTTTTGCATCATGCCTGATTAGAAAGCAGTTTAGTTCAGTGCTAATGTTTATGATTGTGCGGGTGGGTAACTGTGTCTAATGGTAATGGTGTGTGATATCACAGAAGCTGACGTGGCGGTCGGGACAGGCGGACCGGGAGACATGTGCCATGAAGGGAAAGCACAGAGTGAGACCTCCACATCTTCAGCAAAAATCAGCTGTCATTGTAGTATTTACAGCACTAAAGCAATCATAAATCTCACTGTCTTCTCTTCCTCTCAGGACGAGTGCCATAATTTCATTAAAGTCCTGGTTCCGAGAAATGATGATCTTGTGTTCATCTGTGGAACAAATGGTTTCAACCCCATGTGCCGTTACTACAGGGTAGGTCACACTGTTTATGAGGGCTACGTGACAGTCTGGCTGTTGTTTTGCTCTTAATAAGTGACTGGTTAAAGTGCATGGGGGCATTTTTACAGTACAATGAAGATAAGATCTCAGCAACTCTATTTTTTTTTTATCTATTTCCGTCTCTTGTTTAGTTGGATAACCTGGAGTTTGATGGGGAAGAGATCAGCGGGTTGGCCCGATGCCCATTTGACGCCAAGCAGACAAACGTTGCCCTGTTCGCTGGTATGAGAGCTGTCAGGATAATGAGGAGGATGATAAATAACTTTGCCATGATTTTTAAAGGTTTTGGATAAAATTAAAGCTCCAACTAGAGTAGAGACTGATGTTACGCATAAATCAGATGCCATGAAAGTACAGTAAAGATGTCGCGTGTGCATCAGAATGAGTTTGTACAGGAAACACTGCAAAAAAAACCTCTTAATCAGTATTTTCGGCTTGTTTTCCAAAATAGTATTCTTGTTTTAAGCATTAAACTCGCTAAATTTAACCAGATTTATGCTTAAAAAAGGAATTTATAATCATTACTTAAAATATGAATTCGTATTCATTGTATTTATCTATTTATTATTATTTAGAAAGCTGGATTATTTACTGTATACAATAGCATTGCATATCGTGCATTGAAGAATATAAATAATCAGTGTTTTTTTTTTCTTTTATTTTTTGTTGGTCTAAATAGACCTTTTCGAATTCGTTTAGCTTTTCTGTTTCATTGCCGGTGTAAATTGGCCATTAGTGTTTGGTGAATGTGTGCATTTCGTGAGTTGTATGCAGTTGTGTAGTGGAGTTGAAGTGTGTGTTTAAGTTCACGTATTTATGTTTCATAGACGGTAAGCTGTACTCAGCCACGGTGGCGGACTTCCTGGCCAGCGATGCTGTGATTTATCGCAGCATGGGAGACGGCTCTGCCCTTCGGACCATCAAGTATGATTCCAAGTGGTTAAAAGGTACAGAAACTTTTGCTTGTCTTCTAGTCTGTGTTTATGCTGACATTGCTAAATTTGTTAAACCCAGTACACATCTGAACTATTACCTCTAACCGTACCTTAAAGTGGGTCATTGTGGGAGAACAGAAAATGGTGGGTGTTGATATAAAATCCAGCTTTCTGTGGCACGATCTAGGTCAACGCTCAGGCATTCCACTCTGCCAACAAAAACGCATCAAAATTTAACTTGGGGTCAGTGATGGGGATGCTAATGCTTCTTTCTCGTTCTCTTTCTCTTCCAGAACCACATTTCCTCCATGCAGTGGATTATGGGGAGTTCGTCTACTTCTTTTTCAGAGAAATCGCAGCCGAGCACAACAACTTGGGAAAGGTATGACTTGCAACTTGATGTGCAATGCTTACGTTGCTCCAGATGCTAAAGTTCACACAAAAAGTTATGTTTTGGTAATCCTGTTGTATGATACAGTTCTGATTTGCATGTTAATGTAGTATTCATAGTCTTTTATTTAGAGATGAGCATTTGTCCCAGAGGGTCAGTATATCATCCGTTGCCTCAGGATTTGCTTTCAATTGGCCCGTATAACGACTTCTTCGTACCACAGGCTAATGAATATTTAAGTTTAGTTAATTTTGCAGTCAACACGTGCATCAAGAGCAGGTTTTACAGTAGTGAATTATTAAGGTGGTAACATGGCGCTAATTCAAGCCCTCAAGCACACTGCAGTTTTGTTCAATCTCAGAGAAAAAAAAAATATTTCTTGCGTATATTTAGATTCAACTGAGCCGCTTGGGAAATAGATCTATTATTTAGAGAGCGATGCTGAGTTTCTCCCACTATTTTTCTCTCACCGCAGGCGGTTTACTCCAGAGTGGCTCGGATCTGTAAAAACGACATGGGAGGGTCTCAGCGGGTGCTGGAGAAACACTGGACATCTTTTGTTAAGGCTCGCCTGAACTGTTCCGTTCCTGGAGAATCGTTTTTCTACTTTGATGTCCTTCAGGCCATTACAGACATAATCGACATTAATGGGGTGCCTTCTGTGGTTGGAGTTTTCACCACCCAGTTGAACAGGTAAAGCTTGTCACATAAAAACGTATAAAAACAACTGAATAGCGCTAACACCACTGTTTCGATGTATTCAGTATCCCTGGCTCCGCGGTGTGTGCGTTCTCCATGGAGGACATCGAGAAAGCATTCCGTGGCCGTTTCAAAGAGCAGAAGACGGCAGATTCAGTGTGGACACCATTTCCAGAGGAAAAGCTGCCCAAGCCCAGGTTGGTGCACGGCATTAGTGCGTGACGGGCTAATCATTGCGAGATTAATAATTAACATGTGATAATTGGACATGCTGCATATTTAACCTGTGTGTGCACTGGCCATATGGAGGCGGGTATAGATTTACAGGCATGTGGCACATGGTTCTTTGCCCTCTTTCCCTCAACCGGAACTGCATGCGTGCGCGTTTTGTCTTTTCAGACCCGGCTGCTGCGCGGGACACGCCTCAGCGGAGTCCTACAAAACCTCCATCGAGTTTCCAGACGAGACCCTTCAGTTCATCAAGTCACACCCACTCATGGACCCCTCGGTCCCCTCCATTGGAGACGAACCGTGGTTCACCAAAACAAGAGTCAGGTATGGGCAAAGTGCCACCATTCAGCCTACCCAGATAGCAAACTGACATTGAATCAACGTGGAAATATGACATCGAAACAACGTTGATCTGACATTGTTTTGCTCATCGAATTAACGTTGAACCAACGTCAGACGCGTCATTCTTTCAAAACTAACGGAAAATCAACTTGAAATCAACGCGTTGTTTCAACGTTATGAAAGCAAACCAATTTTCGATTTCATTTAGCTTTGAAGAATGCCGCGTCTGACGTTGGTTCAACGTTAATTCGATGAGCAAATCAACGTTGTTTCAATGTCATGAGAGACGTCGTTTCCACGTTGATTCAATGTCAGTTTGCTGTCTGGGTAGTCTCAAAACCTTGTTCTGACACTATCACAAGATTTGCTGCAACCCGTATTAGACTTTTTTAAAGGTAGATTCATCTGAAATGGTTACATTTCATAAGCAGAAAGAAGAAAATCCAATATCTACACAGATTATAGAAGAACACACTGAACAGTTTGCCATCTAGACCCAGTGTTAGCTGTTAAATAACCCTCCCTGCAAAGAGTGTTGGTTTCACGTTCTAAACAACTGGCACGCCTAATTTCACTAGTTCAGGTCTTGATAGATGTGTCGCGTTTCAACATGTTTTGTCCTGTGCCAGATCAAGTTAAGCTTTTGTAATTCAGCCGTCTCCTTGTAACTGAAAAGCAGCCCTGCACTCAAGTGTTTTTCCTTCTTCTTTGTTTGCAGGTATAGGCTAACGGCACTCGCCGTTGATAACACTGCTGGACCGCATAAGAATTACACAGTGGTATTCATTGGGTCTGAGGCAGGCATATTGCTAAAAGTTCTCGCCAAGACATCCCCCCTGTCTTTGAATGACAGCGTCCTTCTGGAAGAGATCGATGTTTTCAACCAAGCCAAGTATGTTCTAATCCTATACTTATCTCATGATCATTTACATTGTGAGAAACGTGTTTGTAGACCCTAGAGTCATTTTATGAAATTAAATTTTGTGTGACCTTATTTGAGATTGTTTGAGATGAGATTAGATATGTTTGATGTGAAAGCAAAATATTTTCACTTTCTCCTCTGCAGTGTCAGTGTGTGTTTTGTTCTCTTTCTGTTAATATATGTGGATAAAGAAAGTATTGACTGACAGATAGATCTGATAACATGTGATTTATCTGTTCTTCACTTTCTCCCTCCCTCTGTTCATTTTTCCCCAGGTGTTTATCCAGCAATGAGGATGATAGAGAAATTCTGTCTTTCCACCTAGATAAAGACACCCACACACTCTATGTGGCCTTTTCCAGCTGTGTGGTCAGAATACCACTCAGCCGCTGCGAACGACACAGTTCCTGTCAAAAGTGAGTGATGAATGCAGCTCTACTTAGGCATTGTTTATACAGGGTGAAAAAAAATTGGCATATCTAAATTTCATTTTATTAGTCTGAACAGCAAAAACCCTTCTCAGCAATTGTAAGGTATGTTAATCTTTCATATTGTGCTGGTATAAACATAAGTGTTTGTGTTGCAGGTCTTGTATTGCTTCTAGAGACCCGTACTGCGGGTGGATGTCACATGGAGCTTGTGAACGTATTCCTGCTGCGGTGCAGTAAGTCCTACAATAATTTAAAACAGTTTTCCCCCTTTGTATTTTCTATGTAAACCTGACTAGGTATGCTACATTCAATTACAGACATGTTTCCTGCAAAGCTAAACTAGATTCACCTATCAGTAGGGTTGGGTATCGTTTGAATTTGAACGATTCTGATTCCGATTCCTTGTTTCGATTCCGGTTCCTAACGATTCTCGATTCTTTTAAGAGGCAGGGTCAAAAAAGTTTAGTTAACCTTGCTAACCAACGGCCTTTCTGAAGGAAATACTCCTTCTGTAAAAATACTCCTTTTGTCACAAATTTTGCATTTTGCCCAGATTTCGTTATTTTTAGAAAAGTGAAGCCACACTTTGGATCGTCGACGTAAGCTACTCATGTTCGACTCGCGTGGTTATGCCAACACTTCCGGTAGACGCTTCTTCGTTGGTGTTGTTCAGCGGTTTCTTCTTCCGCTCGGCGGACTGTAAATATATATCGAAACTAGGAATCGAAATTTTTACTTTTGAACGATTCCGGGAAAAACTAAAAGTTAGTCTCGGTTCCAATCGATACTCGATTCTCGATACCCAACCCTACCTATCAGTCCAAATTTATTTCCTTCGTCCTTAGAACAACATTTCTTATCCCTCTGTCTTTTCCTTTTTTTGCAGAACTGGTTATGAGCAAGATGTTGAATACGGGAACACTGCTCATCTCGGCGATTGTCATGGTGAGCTAATCAACACATGCCCCCTTTAAGAAATATTAGTTAGTAGTTCTCACATCAATAACCCCCTTACACTCTCAGCTGATGGAAATTAACACATAACAAACAAACATCATACTAATTCCTCTGACAATTAAACAAACACATACAGTATGTACACATAGGCCTGAACATCACAGGAACATACACCTGTAAGTGAAAGAGCGATACAGCGTAAACCAGAGGAACACTTTTTTGATAATTTGATAAAAACAGTTGTAGCTTTTTTATAATTTCAAACTTTTATTTTTGTTATTTTATGCTGATTTCCTGTTCCTTTAATTCTTTTAGAATTTTTGGCCACTACATCAGCGCCAGATTTCAAATCATATGGCGACCCAACCTCTGGTTAGTTTCCTGTACTGCACTGATTTCCTTCCTTGAGTTCATCATTCTCCAAATCTCCGTCTTTTTCCCTCTTCTGCTGCCACCTACCTTTAATCATGTGTTCTTCATCACACCATCATCACTATCATTAAGAGGGCACCTGATCTCTCTCATCACTCATCATTTCATGCATTCGTTCTTGCATGGATATGTGATTCCTCCTCCATCTTATCTCCCTGGACTATATTGTCGCCGCCTTATTCTATTAAAGATGATCTTCATCCTTTCCCTCCTCTCAGGCTGTATTTTTCCGTACCTTAGACTCTGAACAGCCATTACTTACCTGTAATGGTCCAAAGAGTCAATCTCTAAAAAATAACCTCAATGAATCGAATAAACTGACATACCCTATGTCAGTATGCACTAACCCCCGATCGTCACGTTGCGCCTATCATGGGTTCCGATTCTTAACAGTTTGTTTGTCGCTACAGACATGGAGTTGCCATCCTCGTCAGTCACAGTGACCGCAAGTTCTGAACCCATACAATCACTCCAAACCATCCCCACTCAGACTCCCCAACTCTTTGGCTCACGGAAATCTGTGCTCGGCGATGACCCAGCCACTTCACATTCTGTTGAGCCTATACCAGGTGTGCTGGAGGGTAAGGCCTTGACCAGAGCGCTCTGCGCTGCTGCATGGAATTCTGGGTAATAGCTGCTATTAGCGCTGCTAGTCATACGAGAGAGTGCATATATCTCTGATAGCAGCCCATTCCTTACGAAAATGGCTTGATAAGCAATTCTGTCACACTACATTAGCAAAGTAGAGATACAAGGCTCCTAATGCATGTGCTTTTGAAAACTTTCAGATCAGCACAATGCCTTGTTGTCTTGAAGTCTATTAAGATGATACAAGCAGCTATACTCAGATTCCATCAGCGTATAAAGCTTTTTATTATTATTTCTCCTACTTTTGTGTTTCTTTGATTTGTTCTCCATTTTTAACTTTATTTTATATCAACTCTAGTTTCATCCATTTTCTATGGGATTTTTTATTTGTTCAATCTGTCCTAAATGGCTACATCTTTATCTTCTTTCATCCACTTCTTTATCTGCCCATTGTTTTGGGGTTTTAGGAAATCTTCCAAAGGCCTTGCCACTACGCAACACTTTTAAGCACCTCTAAAGCAAAATGATACTCTCACTAACTCTTTCGAATATCTGCGGATGCTAACAAAACTCACCCTCGAATAATAGACAAAGACATGGGCTTAATTATTTTTGGGAAAACTCATGTAAAACCAGAACATACTAACTCACCTGATACTCAACCCTTGTGCAATAAAATGTTCCACCACACCTCTTTACTAATTTGCCTACTTCAATAATATAATAACAGGGTACTGCATTGTATTTTCTGAATTTTTGGCTAGGTATGTTTCTTTAAAAAGTTTCTAAGATGTTGAGGACACTTTTGATTCACGCCAAATGGTTGAGCATGTTTTGGGGGAAAGGACTTTTTGCTTTAAACAGTTAGTTCACCCAAAAATGAAAATTCGGTCAGTATTTACTCACCCTCATGTTGTTCCAACCCCGTAAGACCTTCGTTCATCTTCGGAATACAAATTAAGATATTTAAGATATTAAGATCACTCCTGCATACAAGTCCATGGGCTTCTTGAGGGAATGACTTGCTGTCCTCGAAAAGTCATTAAAGACATTGTTAAAATAGTCCAAGTGACTACAGGGGCTCAATCTTAAGTTTATCAAACGACGAGACCACATTTGTGCGCAAAAAAAACCCAACAAAAATAACGACTTTATTTCAACTATTCGTTTATTTCTCCCTCTGCGCGAGTCAGGTTACTAGTTTAATAGCGTAAGCTTCTGTTATTGTACGTCACACGCATCACACACATGACCAGCGTCGGCCAATGGTGAGCCTACGTGTGACGTAGCTTTACGCAATCACACTACGTTGACTGACTACAGGCCCATGGAGAAGGAAGTGAATAGTTGAAATAAAGTCGTTTTTTTTGTTTGTTTTTGCGCACAAAAGGTATTCTCGCCGTTTGATAAAGTTAAAATTGAGCCACTGTAGTCACTTGGACTATTTTAACGATGTCTTTAATGACTTTTCGATGCCAGCAAGAGTCATTCCCTCAAGAAGCCTATGAACTAGTATGCAGGAGCGATCTTAATATCTTAAATATCTTAATTTGTGTTCCGAAGATGAACGAAGGTCTTACAGGGTTGGAACAACATGAGGGTGAGTAAATACTGACAGAATTTTCATTTTTCGGTGAACTAACCCTTTAAGAGAGAGTTGTTCAGTGCTCAACTGTCTGAGTGTGCTAACATGCTGTTTGACTATCTGTGTTGCAGGTGTGTGGGAAATACAAGCAGGTGAATCTAACCAGATGGTGCACATGAACATCCTTATCTCCTGTGTGTTAGCTGCATTCCTGCTTGGTGCATTCATCGCCGGTATGGTCGTTTACTGCTATAGAGACGCTTTCCTTCGCACACCACGCAAGATCCAAAAAGATGCAGAGTCAGCGCAGTCCTGCACCGATTCCACTGGCAGCTTTGCCAAGCTCAATGGTCTGTTCGACAGTCCTGTCAAAGAGTACCAACCCGATATGGATTCTCCCAAACTCTACACCAACCTGTTGAGCAATGGGAGGGAGGTGCCAACCAACGGAGACACTAAGACAATGCTCCTGAGTGGGCAGCCACCGGAACTAGCAGCACTTCCCACGCCTGAGTCCACACCTGTTCTACAACAGAAGAGCCATCAGCCAATCAAGAACCAGTGGGAGAGAGCTCATGGCAAGATAAGTAGCTCCCGCAAAGAACCACCAAAAAGCCCACAATACCTTCCCTCCAGTCCACCTCCCCATTCTGCCATTAGCAACCCCCACATCCCTAGTGCCGTGGTACTGCCCAATGCCACACATGAAATCAGAGGATCATTCAGTACCCCCGAAGGGCCTCAAGCTGAACACAAGATCCAGAATAGCGATCAACATGGTTCCAAATCTGGCCGTAAAGACCAGCGACGCACTGTGGATGCCAGGAACACGCTGAACGACCTCTTGAAGCATCTGAATGAGAGCACACCCCCCAAGGCCATCATGGTGGACATGCCCAAATCCCGACAGCACCTAATGCTGGAACCCATTATAAGTCCAACGGAGATTCCACCTAAAGTCCCAAGCCGAGAGGCCTCCTTGTACTCTCCCTCGTCATCTTTACCCAGGAATAGCCCGACTAAACGAGTGGATGTGCCGACTACTCCGACATCACCCACAGGCCAAATGGGAACTCTCGAGAGACAGCGGTATCACCGCAGCTCCTCCCAACGACACTCCATATCCTCGCCGCCCAAAGGGCTGCACTCCCCTAGCGGGGCCATAGTGTCCCGCCAACCTAGTATGAACAGAGGTGGGTACATGCCCCCAACTCCTACCCCACCCACTAGACTAGACTCTCATGGGGTACCAATGGCTATGACGCCTTCCGTATCCCGACAGAGCAGCTACAGTGGTCACGGATCTTTACCACGAACATCCATCAAACGGACAGCATCGTTAAAGCCTGATGTGCCACCCAAACCCAACGGTTTTGCACCACAGACTGCTCAAATGAGGGCAGTGAACAAGTATAGCTACTGAAATGCTTTGCAAGATCTTGCTCTTTGAATGGACAATGGGAGTAAAAGCGCTTGGCCCGCAGAGATATGGCCTTTCCTTTGAAGGGAAATGAATCGGATGCTTCTGTTTCGGGTAGTTGTGCTAGTTCTCAATGACCATGTCCCGTCACGCTTGAGTGACAGGTGACGGATTCTGATCTTTAAGGCGGCAGGGACGCCTGAGGTCATAGGTCACAGCTGACGTGCAGCATAAAGCTGCTGCGTAGTTGCTGTGGCGGTCGGGCAGTGAATGCTCCCCCCTGCACTGTTCTCCCCATCAATGTGAACTGTATTTGTTAGACTGCTTGGAAAAGGTGGTATTTTTGCTTGGATATCTCTCAAGAAGGCAGAACGAGTCAAAGGGACATGTTGTGTGTCTGTGCTCGATTTAGTCTCTGGGTCTAACCAGTGTGCATTCATTGCCCGATTTTTTTTCAGTAAACTGAGAACAAGTTTGAGTCGGCGCTGTCATAAAACTAAATTCCATTTAAGGTGCATTAACGTCAGATGTGCTTGGACACAGAAGTCCAGACATTAATTAATAATTTCTGTGTGCAAAAGAAATTGCCCAGGGCCCCTTACTTAGACTACTGATTTTAAAACTCACAGGGTAAAAGTGCCCTCAACATTTGTGCTGCTAAGTGTAGATGATGACAGTGTTTAACTCCAGTGTGATGACGTTCCAAGCAGCGGCTCTGCGTGTCAAGCTGCTGCAAGCTTTTAAATCCACAGACTCAGCACAGGATCACGCTGGTCAAATGTACTATGTTCTGTTTTTAGTTCCAGAAAATCAATGGGAATCCTGTTAACCCATAAAATCAACTTTCAACTATGACACAAGGCAGATTATTGATCAACCTCTCTCCTTTCCTTCATGCCAAATACTGTTGTTGGGATTATAAAGTTATGTCTCTTCCCTCTGAACCATTGATGATTCTTTCCAGTTTACACAATTTTAGAGAACTTGCTTCTTGGTTCCTGGGCAAAGTATTACATAAAACTGCAAACAGCAGATTCCTTACTTTAAACCACTCCTCAGCTCTATACTAGACCCTATCCAAGAGATAAGCTTCACTCTGCTTGTTTTAAATAATAGAGGCCTCAATTGCATACTCACTATAAGTGTACAATCACTGCAATACCTTACCAGTGTGTCTTGCAGAGTCGTGCCAGTGATTATTGTTATTGTAAATATACAACTATTTAAGTGTGGACATTTTCAAAGCAAGTTGACCTGGATTTGTATATTTGTGTGCCTTATTAAAGTCATGAGAGCTTGGTTTGGTTTTGGACATATCACAGTCAACATTTTTTTTCAATATGAGCAGAGAAGGTACACCTTTAGGAAATTATAAATAACATTTGGATTTGCGATAATAAGATGCCATGTAATGAATGTATTATGGATCTAAAATGTTTATCACCCGAGTCTCAGCTCACAATATTTCACTACATTTAATGGGGGTCGAAACAAGATGTGTTTTTAGAGAGGAGTGTCTACGATTAGTGACTCACAGTTTGTTTGAAATTACTTGGGAATTTCAGTGTATCAAGGTAAAACCTGCCTCTTCAAGCCCAAAGCTTCATGTTTGTTTACATGTTCTGATTGTATTTGAGCAACTGAGCGGAGGCTGATGCATCATCACCTGCTAAAGATCAGTTTTATTAAAGGAGAGAGAGTTGATCCTGTGCTCTGGTTCAAGTTTTCCTGTGTTGAGCTGCCTTGTATATTGCAATATAAATCTGCAATCTGACTTCAAGCCTTTATTGTTCAGTCGATATACGTGCAAAGAAACCAGACTGGTTTACCTTTTATTTTTAATACTGTGTAAACATTGGCAGTTGAAATACAGCTTTTCTTTTCTGGAATATTTTAATGTGTAGATATTGTAAAGCTGTTCTGAGAAAATGTAAATAATTACAGTCATTGTTTAAGAATATTTTTGTTGACTTTTTTTAACACGGCATGTATAGTTGAAATAAAATATTACTGCACAGAAATGGTTTTCTTTCTAATTTTGGTAATGAAGAATGATACATCTGAAACGCATACTTGACACCTGAGAATCATGAGATTTGTCACCCATGATGTCAAATTTGGTGTGAAAACTGAACCCCAACGCAACTCTGCATCCTGAACCTGTGAGATTCAAAGCTGCAAGGCTGATGTTTTTATTTTCTTTACTGATTTGAGATTTAGCACAGAATTTATTTTTAGACCCTTGTTTTGAAATCTCGGTGGAGAATGAGCCATTCCACATCTCGTTGGGAAATCCTCCAAAGTCATTTGTAAGCTGAGCACCCAGGATCTGTTCCACTGGCTCAGACTACAGTCCCATACACATTTGCTCACACACACTCACTCACTCACTCACTGGTAGCATCAGGTATCCAAGATCGTTTGAGAGATTTCACTAGAATTTCAGTAGTGGCCAATGTTTAGGACAGACACGTCTGGACTGGAATATTCAAGAATTTATTCCAGAATGTGTAGGCTATAGTTGGTTAAGAAGGTCAAAAAGCCTTCTATGTGGTTTGAATAGTCTTTAGATAATAATATGTATATAATAATAATTTAAAAACTGCCACTGCACAGCAGTGATGTGCAATACTATTTTGAGCATTGTTAATAATAAGAAATCTTTCTTGAGCATTAAATCAACATATCAGAATTCAGCTTTGTCTTCACAGAAATAAATGACATTTTAAAATATATTCAAATATAAAAAAAACTTTTAAATTGTAGTGATATTTTACAACATTACTGTTTTTACTGTAGTTTTGAAATTCGATGAATTCCATCCTTATCGCGTTAAAATTATTTAACGCAAATAAATTACTGAAGCATGTGAATTTTGTTTTATTATCCTAAATAAGTAACGCAGTAAGAATTGGAAGTTTATCACACCGAGCATCTACAATGCTGCAAGCACCAACCCTGGTAGGTGGAAATGTCTATTCTAATCCGATTTCACTTCTCTATTGCCATCAGATCAAGCCTCGAAACTCCTGGAAAGTTTTCAGTCCAATGGTCCATCCAGTTAGGGAAGTAATTGAAACAATCAGTCTTAACAGCGCTAATATAAAGAAATCAAGTCGGCTTATAAAATCAGAGATGACAGATGTAGACTCGTGTTGCGTTTCCATTTAATTATTCATTCCGGGGTGTGTTTTGCTTTAAAACACGAGTTCATTCATATTCCGTGGTTGTTTCCAACCCGATCTCACGACCAAATCGTACGAATTCGACGAATGATTAAAAAGTGGCTAATTCGTAACAGTTCATACGACCTCACTCGTACGAATTAGTATGATTTTGCTAAATCGTACATATTTTACGAATTGGCCAATTCGTATGAATTCGTACAAATGACCTACCCCTTTCCCCGCCCTAACCATCACGTGGGTTTAGACAAATCGTACGAATTCGTACGAGTGAGGTCGTACAAATTAATACGAATTAGACACTTTTTAATCATTCGTCGAATTCGTACGAATTGGTCGTGAGATAGCGTAGTTGTTTCTGAAGAGCGCGAGTCCAAAGTACCTTTCAAGGAAAGTCTGTTCACTTTGCGGCCATATTTGCTATGCCTCCGGGTGCTTGGTGAACTCACAAATAAATTTCCATTTCAATTTCCATTACATGAGAGTAGATGTTGATTGTAGATTTTGACATACTGATTTATACTAGGTTTTCACCAAGATAAGCAAAACTAAGATGTAGCTTTAGAGTAAACTATGCCTCTCCATCCATTTACACTTCTTTCCATATGGTGGTGTGACTCCCCTTCTGTCTGGCGTTAACGACTGCAGTGTACTTGGTGCGTCAGCAACTACAGTAACATATTTCAAATCAGCAACATATTCTCACATGAACTGTCCCATAAATGTTGTTTCAAATAGTGTTCCAGACTTGACGAGCCAATGCACATTTGTAGTCCTAAACGCGAGACTTAGGTGTCTATCGAAACTTTAGATTCTAACAGCTTTATCAATCAGCTAGCGATTGGATTTTACTTGGAAGGCCGCCATAGTCCGCCATATTGCACTTTGCAGTTTCTTCCATTTATAACTAATAGGAGTGAACCATCTTTCTATATCTATAGCCTTTAGCAAGTCCTCATTCATTGCGCTGAACAGACTGATCTAAACATTGAAACATCCCACCGCTGAATGACCAAATGATATGTTTACTCGTAAAAAATTCTAGGGGTGCCAATAATTGTGGCCAACATGTTTTGAAGAAAAACATTTAGGCCTATTTCATAATGTGATTTTCCCCCCACTTTCAATTCTTTCACACCAATGAAAGGTTAGATTTTTGCATGAAAGATCAAAAAGGATAAACACTGCAGATTTAATTTTTACAGCCATTTCTGATCATATTTATCAGGGGTGCCATTAATTCTGACCACAACTGTAACTTACATAACTATTTAGAAAAAAGCAAAGAAAGTAGAAACATAGAATGTTCGTTTATGGTTTTTCACAGTAAATTATACAGACTTGTTCTTTTTCACTTCCAAAACTGTAAATGTAATGGTATACTGCAAAATAACATTTATTTACGGTTAGCTCTATTACAGTTATTCGTCATTGTATATAGTACGGAAACCTTCTGTTAACCAAGTAACAGTTTTTCACTGAAGCATTTTTACAGTTAACATTAAAATCATGATTATTATTATTTACTTTTTTTTAAAGTGAAGATTTTCAAGCTGTGCAATTGAATGGGAATAAAATAATAGGTTAAATGGTGAGAAATCACAGCTATTCTCTGTAAAGGGGGTTTGCATGAACGGTAATTACACCAGCCAGCGGGGGAATATTTCAACAAGCACTGCCATCTCTCTTACACACACACACAGTCCCCAAGCTTATGTGCTTTGATTCATAGCATTGTCAATGTACCTGCAAACCAAGCATTGTTTAATGGAGTCTGACCAAACACTCCAGATGTACACACATATACACGTATAGTCATTTTTAACATTTAGCATGAACACAAAAGCACCTTGAGTTAGACATTCATCATCATTTTCATCTCAAATTTAAGACTTTTAGCACACACAAAAAAG